GTGAAAGCGAAACCCCGCCAAGTTTTGAAGTCGCTGTTTCTTCATCTGAAAGGGAGGGTTGGAGGTCAACTCAATCTCCTTGAAGAATTTCTGATTAGTGCAGTTTTTTTAAATATAGTTTTATATGGTTTCGAGAGCACGCTACATCATGTTTTTTATTTCTAGTTTAGGAAAGCCAATATTCAGCAAGGGCTGGCTTGTGGAGTTGGAAGAGGGGTGTGGATGAATATCGAATCCCTTTCCTGACAGTAGTGGCTCTATGTGGCAGAGAAGGGTGGCTTGGATTGCATGTACTCGTCTTCGCGACCTTTTTTCTATTCTACCTAATTCATGACTAGCAATGCTGAAGTTTGTTAAATACGTACCAAAAATTGACTCACTGGGTCATCTGAAGTGGAAAAGGTTTCGCTAAATTATTTTTTACATAAAGTTTAGTAAAAAAAAACGACTTTCATGCTGGTGCTGCTTTTGTTTTTTTTTGTGTTTAGTAGTTTAGTTTGAAGTCTTGTCTTGCAATATGCATTCCTCCAAAATTAAAGTTCGAAGCTTCTACAGCAACATACCTTGAGATTCCACATCCATCTTGCGACATTCCTGATGTCACAAGGTATTTTAGGCGTCACGCAATGAGCTGATGCAACTGCTCGATAAAGCACAGTTGGACGCGATTCCTGTTCTCGTGTTAGGGAACAAAAAGGATCTGCCTGGTGCTCTCGATGAACGGACAACTTATTGAGCGCATGTGAGTAGGAAGATTTTTTTCAGAATTGAGCCAACAGGTCTGTTTGACATGATTTGAAAGAGCAGTATTATGTGCATGTTAACATCCATTGCGTCGAAATAGTGTCACCTTTGTCTGCAGGATTTTTTGCCTTTTTATAAAGTAGCAACTACCATTGGGTATCATTAACCTCTGAAACTACCGATTTCTTCTTTTGTAGGAATCTGTCCGCTATCCAGAATCGCGAAATATGCTGCTATTCAATTTCTTGTAAAGAGAAGGAGAACATAGGTTTGTGAAAGTCAAGTATTTATGTTTTTTTCGGAACTGGATGTGTAATTGACTGCGAGTATATGTGAACTAAAGGGTGCACTCCTTTATAAGTTTTCGGAAATTTATAGTTATCCACTTAAGTTATCTTTATTTTTATGTTTAATCTATGATATTGGGTTGGTGCATAATATCGTAGCGCTCGCATTCGGCAAAAACGTTCAAAGCAAAACCCAAAAGCAAAGCCAAGCATAAAACTAATCAGTGATGTTCTTCTCGTCATTATATACGACTTTGATCCCATTTTCGCGAAAGATTGCCGGGTCCAGAATTTAAAAAAGGGTACTGAGCCCGTTTTCAGAGTCCTCATCATTCTCAATATGTACGACGTAAATATGATTTGTGATTGAGGGTCGATCGGAGTAAGTTTCGATGATGACGATAGATCCCGAAAAACTCCCATTTTGGCAGCTTTTTTCTTTATATAGATTTTCGCCCACCCTGAGTTTCCAACTTCTAAGCACCATATCTGAGAAGTTACATTTACAATATAGAAGAAAATAACAAACAAGGTTTTGTAGAGCGGAAGAAGTACTTTCAAATGATATATGTGATTTCCTTGGTAGTACTTGTATTCACTGAGTTTGTAGCTCGAGAAAAAAAAACGCTACGTTATTATGCACCAACCCAATACATTGCTGAATTCGATTAGTGATCAAGTCTCAGGTATCAACTTGATAATGTGATGGTTTCTGTCGCTTATCTTCTTTTTTCCAGATATCACTCTCCAATGGCTGATTCAGCACTCGAAGAGTCAGCGCTGATTTGCCTCTGTCCGCATCGCAACTGTAAATTTTGTGTAGCTTTTCATTTTTTTCATATTTTATGTCTCACCGTTTTGCGGTTTTGCGCCAAGTTTGTCACATTTGCGAACTTCTTCTTTGTTTAGTCATTGATTGCTTTTCGATTTGCGACAAAGCACGTTTATTTTCCAGTTCTCATTCACAATATACGTTGAAAGGTTGTTGTTCTCTAAAGTTAGGTTGCTTTTTCAATGCTGGTGATATTGGTTTTAGCGTGATAATTCACAGATCTGTGCACCCTGTGTAGCTTGCTAGACTTTCTAATCATCCAACCACATCTGGTATCGATTAATTCTCGTCGTAGGCAATTCTCGTTCTCGTCTGTTATTTATAAATTTATTCATAATAAACATTTACAAACACGTGACAATGTGTTATGTCCAAGATATATTTGTGGTACTAACAGCAGATAGAATTGAAAGTGCATCGAAGTCGGCCGCCGTGCCCTATTCGACAACTTCAATTAAAATACATACGAGCAAATGTACGAGACGCAGTACTGACGTGGAGTTTCTAATCTTTGCTTACGGCAACAGAACTTCGAGGGGGAGGGAAGAGCAGCATGGGTACAGAACACAACTGTGATACTTATTGTTAACTATTTCTGATAAGAAGAGCATAGACTAAAATCATGAACTCAGCAACGAACACCGGAGAATATGAGAGAAAATGCGTGGCGAAAATCAACTTGTCCTGGGAAGATTTCGCAACAAGAGTAGAAGAGCTATTGGTTCAGTGTGGTCGATAAAACCTCAGGCTGTCCCGAACCCGAGGTACATCGCCCAACACTGAGACGCTCTCTGCATCACAATGGTGTCCCGTGCCATGAGTGACGCAGAGAGACGAATAAAAATTTGAGCGTGAGGAAGTGCGGGGTTAGTCAAAAGCTGTATCCATAAAAGCACAGCAGTAATTGGCTTCACAACTGATTGTGGTGTTTAATCGTCGCGTGTGGTGAAGGAAAATAGAATAAAATAATTGTGCAAATCTAGGGCTCTACATGAAGGGCAGCGGCGTATTTGGCCACTGCTTTCTTATCTTTCACGACTTTTGCTACATATACACCTTCGTCGGTTGGTTCCACACTCTGAAAAAATTGGAATGATGCGAGGAACAAATCTATTGAGGTAACTGTGATAAAGTTCACAAACCTTGAAGTCAAGCTTGAACGAGTTGCCAGTTTTGACGGACTTCAACCGATCCGATTTCTCGACCTTTTCTGCACCTTTGAACCACTGTACAGTGTATCCTTCCGCGTTTTTCATTTCCAGAACCAGTTTCGTTGCTGACCCGGACGATGCACTCACCGATGTCGGCAACTTCGTAATGGGGGGCTCATTAGGGTTTCCTAAAATCAACGATCACTGAAGCTTCCAATGAGGCGTGCTTTTTGATATTTACTACAGAAAGCTGTGCTTGAATGGTTCAATGTCTGAAACGACAACACCAGGGGAGTACATCAATAGCAATGTCAGCTAGAGGCCATGAAGCGAGGTAAGGTGTTTTCGCGGCGGAAGATGCGCTGGTTGCACAACAGTTAGGCCATAAACCTACGAAGGCACCTGCCCAACCCCTCTCCCTCCAAGTGCGGATTTACGATACCATTTTAGTTCGGCTGTCATTCACCGAGTGCAATTCGAACCAAACAGGCGTACCTCCTAATCTTGTCATCTCCTGTACTTATCGGAGGTGTGGCTCAAAGGTTGACATCCAACATAAGCCTTGGAGGAGGAATTAACGATAAGAACGAAGGTCGAAGAAGAGGATGTCACGTCTTCGTTAGATTTGACTCACCTTCGACGGTGGCACTACTTAAAGGAATCTTCCACGGAAAAAGCTCCGCCTCCATTACCACAGAAAAACGATACCTTAGGCCCCTAGCCTCATGAGCATAGCAAAAAGAACGGAACATAAGCGTTAGTTTCGATAATACTAATCCTACACACAAGACAAAATGATCACTCTTTCCGTGGAAGATTCCTTTAAGGTATCGTTTTCTGTGGTAATGAGGGCGGAGCTTTTTCCGTGGAAGATTCCTTTAAGCGAAGCCACCTGATAAGAGGCGGTTGGCAGCAGTCGTCTGGCGCAGCTCACTTCCCTTCCCCCTTCTCCCCTTTCCTATTTATGTCTATATAGAATAAACATTTGAAATAAATAACTGTTATGTTATGAACAAGTACAACACCGCTACCCTTCAGAGATGGCCAACCTCTTATCTGATGGGGAAACTTGCCTTGTGAGAACGCAGGCGGACCTCCTGAGGATGCTGACCGACGCGCAAAGGCATCGGAAGATCTGACCCCGGCTATCTAGCATGGTGTTTAGAATGGGTGCGGAAGACTTGGGTTTGGTGGCCCTTTTAATGCAACGATAAAACGGTGGCTCAGTGGAATATTTATTACTAAGAGAGATATTGAGAGTACGTGGGAGGATGGACCGTTCCCTACGCTCGCAGATGTAGAATGTGTGCTATCTTAGGAAATACTCCGCACTCCGCCCACTCGAGAAGCCACTCGAGTTAGAGTAGTTAGTCGGTTACAGTATTGCAGGGGTCGTCGTCGACGACACATGGCTCACTTTTGGCGCGGTTGGCGGGGTACGCCCACCGACTATCTAATTACTCGCCGCAGTTCTATACGTGGCGAAGCATACATTATACGAAGTAGATGCGGTAGGTGTCTGCCCCACCAGGGTAGCACAGCCGATGGAGCGTCGCATCAATGCGGAAGCCAACGAGCAAGAACGGGTCCCATTTTTTGGGGTTTCTTCTACATCCATGCTCCGACTGACCACCTTTACCCATATTTCCAATGAGCTAACTTTTAATCCGCGCTTAATCTTATCAATAGTCAACGGGCGGAAAGGGGTTCCAGTTTTACGATTTTGATAATCCTGGTTTGAGTGTTCATCTTGAAAACATGAGTACAAAAAAACCTGATAAAAAAGAGAGAATTGATGTGTGTTCCATTCTGCAAGATAACAACAACGTCATCAAACCAACGAAAAGGCAATCAATACATTGTTCCTACAGATGTAAATCAACACGTAACATACCAGACACAATCAGCGACGCTACGGAGATGAGGTCCGATCCTTTGCCTCGGAGCTCCAGCTGATACAGTCCAGCATCATCCGTCTTCGTATTGCTGATGGTTAGCCGATATCGTTCACCATCCTGCGCGATTTCGGTTCGGTCATCACTGCTTATCTGAAACGAATCTCTTCAGTGTCAGCGTGTTTTAGCTGAGACAGTGACCATCTCACCTCTGCTCCATTCTTTGTCCATATGATTTGATCGTATTGGCCCGATGCGCAAGCTTCCAGAGTGGCTGAGGAGCCTTCATCAACGAGTTGACCGGTGAGATGCCGGACAATCCTAGAATGGTTACATTGTATCAGTTACATTCCATTCTTACTCCAAATTCTATTCCTAGTAATTTCCTAACTTTTCCACAGATCACAGACACAATCCATTCTCTTCTCTCTTCTTGACGGGTGCACCCAACTGCTTACCCTTTCTTCTCGTTGCCCCTTACCCTACTCGTTCTTGGGCTAACAAGGCTCTATGAATACTCGGCAAACTTGCAACAGACAATGGCTGTCCTACTGAATTGCTGTGTAGCGAATAGGATAGTCTTCTCAGAAGGAATGGAAACACTCTTAGAGGGATGAATATCATTGATCTATGTTGGTCAAAGGTCCAAACGGAAGGTCAATAATAGCTCGTTCTGGCCGTTTTCAAGACACAACTACGCAAACGTCGTCTAAAAAATAATGTTTCTCTCCGGTTTGTAGGATGGACCCCTAGAGGATATTCACAGATGTGGCATTACCGTGAGCGGAAATTACCCGACAAGAGCGCTAGGACCTAGCAAAATAAGCTGCTGCAGCTGCAATTTTTTTCTTTCAACAGGCTGTTGTCTGACGCTCTCTCATCTGTTGTACTCTTGCCTCATACTCTCCTCTACGCACATAGTCTCTCATTGCCCTAGCACAGCCGAATGAAGGTGAGTGAGCGCTTACGAGTTCCCACCAGCGTGAGCTCAGTTTCTCTGCGTCACTGCAACATGGACTGCAAGATTATAATGTTCCCTTTGGGCGCTCACGTACAGTAACCCTACACGCGAAAAATTAGCCGTCATGTTTGATGTTATTGGTGCGCGCACACACCAGGCACCCTACTGCACGCGCATAATTTGGCTGTGATTCAAATTGCTTTACAGGTCTCCGTTCGAGAATGTAGGCGCAATGTGCCTCGGGGGGGGGGACCAGTCGCCGCGCGCGCTCGTGCGGCAACAGGAAATTCGTGAGCCAGGGGGAGTGTAGCCAATTCAGGGGGGTTGGGGGTGAGGGCAGTCACATGACATGCGTGAGAAGCTGGAATGTTCGAATTTCCTGTTGCCGCACGCGCGCGTGACTGCCCCCCCCCCCCGAAGGCCCCATAGCCGGCATCGTCAATGGTCCGTCTGCCGAAGTGGATCCCCTAGCCAAGCACTTCCGGTATTGTCCCTCCCTATAGATCATCCCCTCACTACTACTCTAGATATCACGTGACACATTCCCTTTGCGGAGAAGCACGGTGGCGTCGTATAAAAGGAGCGAGAAAAAAGTCCGGGAACAACTGCTCAAAAGGAGGGTGAGTTCCAACAGATAGCAAGTAAATCGTTTAGTTGATTCCTGTGATTGTAGAGTGTCGCGTAACACATTTGGATCCATTTCTATGCTTATTTCTTATGTACAAATATCATCCACAATACTGTATCTTGGTAAGGTATGTGTCATTAGGCGTAAGATCGCTCGTGCCATCATCAAAATCAACATCGGAAAGCCAAAGGCGAGCAACATACACAACTTAAGACAAAGGTTCTGGTCGCGCCTGTTCAAGCAAGAACATTGGGAAACAGTACTACATTCACGCTATATTTTAATCGGGCTGATCACACGGTGCATTTTGGCTCTCGTGCTCTGGAATGCATTGACAATTGTTAACCAAAGATATCATTGATACATCAGCCTATATTTATATTATCTTCCAGAGATTTCCGAATATACACTAAACACTTAGCGGAAAAGCAATCTCGAAATAAGCGATCGCGAGAATTATGTACTTAACTATATAAGCTTTGTAGCATACCGTAACCCTTGATTTCAAGCTTATTTCCTTTCAGGGATTGGCCTACTTACGATAACAGATACTAACGGAGTGAATCCATTTATCTGAACGCAAATTGCCTTTCAATAATATGCGAACCTTTTTCAGAACAAGTACATGCCTCTGTGGACCAGGCGTTTCTATATACATCATCCGTCAGGAATTCACTCGTTCACCATGATCGCAGAGATTTTATTCATACTGGGTTGGTTGATATTCATGTTTTGATTTGAACCACCCCATAGATTGAAGTGCAGATTTTTCTTCTACTTTACTCTCAAAACCCAAGTTATGAGATCTTCGCCTTTTGCTCACATTCTCAAAATCAAAGTGTAACATTCTTTTGTAGGTTCCCGAAGGAATGCTCCAGTTCTCGACGCAGATACCAATTCGCATTTTAGTAGCACCGTCGACCTGGACCAATCGCATTTTGGTACACGTGGCGATGGCCAAAGCGACGTCGGAACACCTAATTATATGAGTTTCAATCACTAGCACAGTGCTATTCTCCAACGATTCCTCGCACTATTAAGCTAGTTTTGTAGTACAGTTTGCTACATTGTCATAAATTGTTTAATAAACTTGAAATATAAATCTGATTATTATTCTAGACACAGATCCAGAGTCATTTTCATTCATCATACCCCAGTTGATACTTCAAAAGAAATTAACGGGCGCATTCATAACCGTTCGCCCGATCGTAACGATCGGAACGGTCGCACAGCATTAGGTCTGTGTCAATTGTTGTCCGGTCGTTCGTCACGTCGTCACGGTCAATCGATAAAAAAGAACATTCTCGAACTGAAAATCGAACCATAACAGCCGACTTTGCGCGTATGGTAGGGTGCCTGGTGTGTGCGCGCACTAATAACATCAAACATGACGGCTAATCGTTTTCTTGCGTGTAAGGTACTGTACATGAGCGCCCAAAGGGAACATTATAATCTTGTCATGGACTGGGGTGCAGATGAATAAAGGACAGTGGATAATGCATGCATTTGAAGGTTAAGAAGCAGTCAGAGAAAGCCACCATTCTACAGTGCTTTGTTTCGGGTTGGGCACGCCGACCCATGCGAAATGGGCAACACATGGTTTGCTGAAGCACCTTCTCTC